GACTCAAATTGTATGAATGTTATGGTTTCTGTCTAGCTGTCACCCTGAAGTCTGATATACTCATAGGTGTAGCTTTGGGAAGATAACTAGATCACAGGCATGCTGCTTCACAGTGGATTCGGGTATGGATGAGCTTATAGCTAAATGTAGTGTTGGGAGTTGCAGCCTGTTTGGAGGAGGCTGGCCCGTGGGCCATGGCCTGGAAGGATTTCTCTCCCTTCTCCTCTCTTGACCCTTCTCCCTGCTTTTGCCCCCACACCACGAGCTGTTTCTCCTCTACCAGGCCCCTCTGCCTTGGAACCAGCCCACTAACAGACTGGAACCCCTGAAACCTGTGATCTAAAACAAACCTCTCCTCATTTAACTTGTGGGTGTAGGGCATTGTGTCTCAGCAAAGGCAGAATGACTGATAAGATGAGCAATGTAATGTTAAAGTCTGGTGGTTACACTAGCATTGCAGGGTTCTAGCCCCCTCCCTATTTTAGTAAACTTTCCAAACTGGCACCAGTGTAGACATTTCCTTTGTATATGGCTTTGAGCAGGTCTCGTTTTAGGGTCTTTGCTATATGTTCTAATGTTTGAGTGCATAGGCAGAAAACATGCATACATATTATAAATGAAAGGACTTACATTTTTGGAACTAACTGTCCTAAAATACTCACTTAAATTAAATGATTATCTTTGAAGCTGTCCACAGCAGGTCTTTATATATACTATATTCCAGATTAATTTTATAAACCTGATATTGGAACATTTTTCCTCATAATGATTTAAAAATGAAAGATATAGATAACTGATACTATTTGTGCTATGTATGTGCCCCATGTTTTTTTATCATAAAGCTCAAGAGTTTGAGAAAACTCTTTTCCCACTCTAAGTGTGGGCCTGTCCCTCTCCTTATGTGTTCATTCCTTTATTCCTTCATTTATTCTTTTTCAGGAAAACTTCCATTTATGGACTATAGGTGAGTTGTATATAACTCAACTCACCTTCACCTTCACCCCACAGTAAATTTAGCTATACTTTCTATTCCTTAATATCTAGTTACACAATCTTTTTTTCATTTGCCATAAGGATTTGACTGCATTTCCATCTTCTTCCTATCATGAGTTGAACTCAAATTAAGTAGTATCATCTCAGTATATATAACTTATTCACAATCAAGTACACATATGGACTGAGATGCTTACTAATAAATGAATGAATGGTGGCAGGATGTGTGAACTTGAACCGAGTGTGAGGCTGCAGGGAGGTCCTAGCCAGCTGTACCCCCATGAGGCAGCACTGAGGACCCCGTGGACAGTGAGCAGCCTGCCCTGAGACCATATCTCAATGTAGAGTTGATGGGGCACTATGCAGATGCCCTGCACATGGGGCTGAGAATGTTCATATCCTTCATCTGGTGCACAATGAGGTAGGGACAAAGGCTGATTGGTTTTAAAGATGGAGGAAAAACTAGATTATTGAAAACAGAAATGTCATATTAATCGGCAAGTATGTTAAATTAATCTCCAAAAACATTTGGCTCCAAGAAGAGTTCAAGAATTTTTTTTTTATTAATTTTATTGAGAAACAGATAGCAATGAGATGGTTTCAAAACTGATTAATAGGACAGTTTCAATTTAAAACAGAAACACTAAATCTCCTGGAAGAGAAAAGAGGAGCAACTCTTGAAGACATAGGGGTAGGCAAAGAGTTTTTGATCAAGAATAATTGTGACTAAATTTGTCTTGTTTCTTAACTGCTATTTTATAACCTTGTAATCCGAAGTTACAAAAACAATTCTGTTGTGCACCAGCACATTATAGGAACTTGAGACATATTTGTTGCTGGTGTCTTCACTTGGGTGGAGTCACGTAGATGAACGGTAGCTAGGATGACCATGTGTCCTGGTTTGCCCAGGACAGGTCTGCTTTGTAGCACATATTCTATTATAAATATGAGTGCTACCTTCTTCCATTCTCAAAAGTGTTCTATTTTGTGGACAAATTATGAAATAGCCTTAATTCTAATTTACTTGAAGTTTTCAGTAATTATTTTGAAGTTTGACAAGCATAATATAATGAAATAATGCTGATGTCGAAAGAATAACTCATGATGAACCTTGTTTAGTGACGCTTTTTGCTCTTCAAGTCATACTGGTGAGGACCTAATGCCATCTATTTCTTTCTTCAACTTACTCCTTCACCCTTATAATTTCTTTTTCCACTAGAATAAAATTCTAACTCTAACCATTTTCTTTCCTGAGAGTAGGTTAAACATTCTCCCCAGTCATCCTGTAGCATCCACCCTTAGACCTTCAGAACATGTCCTGTTTGTGTAACCATCCTCTCTTCTGCTTCTGAACTTACCTACTGAAGCCATCTCTTGCCTTCTCTGTGAGTTTGCAGATCAAACAGTCTCTTTATCAATCCATTTACCATCTATCAGACAAGATTCTACAATAAGCTTAACCTTATAAAATATTTACTAATGTGCTGCTAAAGCAAGAAGAGAAAAAAGTCCTGTGTACATTATTGAAATGAAGAGAAAGGGCCAGGGACATAGCTCAGTGGCATAAGTGCCTGCAAGGCAAGCTTCAAGTCTTGAGTTCAATCCCTGATATCAAAGAAAGAAAGAAAGAAAAAGAAAGAAAGAGAGAGAGAGAGAAAGAAAGAAAGAAAGAAAGAAAGAAAGAAAGAAAGAAAGAAAGAAAGAGAGAGAGAGAGAGAAAGAAGCAGAGATACAAAGGTGGAGTGTTCAGTAGCAATCACTGATGCCTGTTTTCTGAGTCTAGGGAGAAACACTGGAAAAGGGAAGAGCCAAATTTGCCCAGCAACAGAGCTTCACGGCTTCTCCTCTAACCCTGCCTAGGAGTTCCCTCAGTCAATGTCCCATATAAACCTGCAGCTATACTGAACGAGCAGTGAATTCCATGGCAGAGTTATCACTAACAGTTTGCAATGTTGCCAAAGAACACTTGAAATATTTAAAACTTGGCATATACTTAATTATATTCACAATTAGTTTTATCCTGCATAGCAAGGTGGTTGGCATAAATCACTATGGTAAGTTCTGTTTTCATGTGAAAACTAAGCATGTGTTCCATAACTCTTCTGTAGAAAAGGTGGGCAGACATGCAGAAGATCTAAATGAAGTGGCAAAGCTTGGATTTGCAACTCAAGGGTGCCCAGATACCAGGAGCATTGTGCTGGTCTATCAGAAAGTCTGAGACATCAGGTAGAGAAAGGACTGACCTAAAGGTAGGTTGTCAGCCCCACAAGGGGTCAGGAGAAGCTGGCCACCCTGTAACTGTTTTTGGGGTATGTATAGGTTTCTGTGATACAAATTCCAGAGATACTCTAACTTCCTGCTTCCTGCCTCTGAGCACATGTTTTACCACTAATTACAGTGGATTTCCTCACCTGCTAAGGGAGATGCTGAACTTGTTACACACCTTGGGGTATTAAGTATGTTTGGTAGGACATGACATTTATGCTTAGTGGTAAATTATGGTGGAAAACAAAACTACTGCTACTACAATATTATGTAAAATGGACTAATTTATAATACCTTTGAGTTGGCAGAAGGTGGAGATTATGGGGAAAGAATATCTCTTTGAGTTGGAAACTAATCAATGAATATATAGTAGATTGCCTTTTTGAATTTAATGTCTGCTGGGGCCTTTCCTCCTAAACTGCAGTACTATTCTGACATGAGAAAGTAGTGTATTTCACATGGATAACAGCACGCAAAAAGGCTAAATAAAACAGTCCATTTGGATTGTCCTTCGATTATTATCTGTTTATTTGATATATCACATAAGATATTTAAAATCAAAGTATAACAACTACAAATGGCATAGGTACCAATTTTCATTCCTGAGGCCAATGGGATCCATGTCACCACATATTAATTGGATTGTGTGAATTCACGGTCCGTCCCCGAAAATATTCTGTTATATTCACAGATGAGGATTTTTGCACTTCAGCTCCACACTTAGATTGTAAACACCCAAGAACTTGACTGTGGAGACTTCTCATGACCAGGAAACCAGACAATAATGCCCTGATAGCGCCTTCTTAATGCTCAATCATCTGTCTAAAGAACGAAAATCTAAACCAGAAGTCATCACTTGATTACTTATTGAAGCATCCTAAAAGCACATACTGTCAAAGTTTCTCAAGAGGGTTGTTTAGTTAATGTGTGAGAGAAATGCTTAAACTATTTAAGGACAAATGTTCTGTAGTATGTATCTAATTGTCAATTATTTGTACCTAATTGGCTGTTGTTCATATACAAAACAGTATTTACTCCTGTGTGTTAAATTATTGAATGCAAGTGGAAATTCTTTTGATTTAAATCCACAATTCTTTCAATGTTATTTCAATAATATTATTCTTTCCATTTTTGGAATATCTTTATGTCTACATCTTAAAATTATCATTTTTTTTTTGGCAGAACCGGGGATTGAACTCAGGCCCTTGCACTTTCCAGGGAAGCACTTATTCTACTGAGCCATCTCCCTGGCCCCTATCAAATATTCTTAATAGAGCTAGTCACATAACTTGGAAGGGTATCATTATCATAGTGGATAAGAGAATTCTTTTTTTACATCACTAAACATAAATTAAAAATATTTTAAGTACTAAAGGAAATAAAATATTTGACAATATAAATTTTTTAAGTAATTGAGAAATAAGGAAAAGTTGCCTTCAAGTAATAAAAATAGCTAAACGAATCACTAAACATAAATTAAAAATATTTTAAGTACTAAAGGAAATAAAATATTTGACAATATGAATTTTTTAAGTAATTGAGAAATAAGGAAAAGTTGCCTTCAAGTAATAAAAATAGCTAAACGAAACTTGAGATTGTTTCTCTATAATGTGTTAAAATGAGGAGAATATTAAAAAAATAAAACAAAATGTGAATATGACATATTTAAAATCACCATGTTCATTTCTGTGAATTAAATGGGCTAGTGAAACTATAATTTATTTCATAATTTAAAGCATGGAGTGCTCGCTTTGACAGCACACATACTAAAATTGGAATGATACCGAGATGATTAGTATGGCCCCTGCGTAATGATGAGACGCAAACTCGTGAAGCATTCCATAGCTTTGGTGTTGAAACTGTCTCATTGCTATTTCTTTCTCAATAAAATTAATTTTTAAAAAATGTAGTCCTTTACATAGGCAGTTGTTCTTCTATATGAGTAAATCTGAAGTGGCAGCAGGAATCCAATTTGCTCTGGATTTAACTGAACTGATATTTACATTTCAAGGCGCTTCATTCTCCTTCACCAAGAGGAGACTGAGACCCATCTTTATTTCAGTGGTGTCTTCATTGGGCACTGAATCACAATAATTTATTTAACTCATTCTTAAGCGAACATAGAACCATATTTTCCACTTTTCCTGAGAACAATAGGTTTTATTTTTTCCTTTGTCTGTCTGAAAGGTCAAAGTCTAGTCATATTTTAGGCAGAAATATCCCTAGAAGGAAACCCTGTGTATTGAGTTTTCACAGATTAAAGTTTTTCCATTTTGAGTCTGTACACATGGCATAATATTCTAATTCACACAACTTTATAGGGCTCTCTTTCCCAGTCCATGAGCGGTAATTTAATTAACATACCCCCAAGAAACAGTTGGTTCGACACAGTGGACAAAACCTCTAATGAAGCTTGATCTTCAAATTTTGCTTCTGTTGTTGGGGGCCTACTGGGAACCTCTCTTTCAGTCTTTGTGGCCTCCAGGAAGCAGTAGTACCAGTCGTTGTTTCAGATGAGAGCCAAAAATGGCAAAATTTTGCTCTGCCTCTTTATTTCTAAATACCATCTTCAAACGCTGAACTTTCCTTTTTACTTAAAGTTGAAATCCAAACCACTTCTCAGGATCGACTATATAGATGGGGTATAAATTAGATTTCAATGACCACTAATACTAGAGAAAATCAAAAAGAACGTAACTTTGTATTCCTTTCAAAGTGCACAAAAGGTCTTTGAAAATTACGTTAAAATTTTACATTTCAGCAGACATGAACCAGTGCAGAGCAGTGTGTTCAGAGTTACGAGGTTCTAGCTAACATTAGCTCTGTACTGTTACTAGGATTTTCACACATCTGAGTCAGTAATGTTGTAAGTTTCTCAGATAATTATAATAGATGCTCTTGATTCTGATCTAGGAGAAATGTAACTCCTAACCTGTTAGATGTCAAGTGTGCTCAATTCCTGGTCACATAGGGAATGAAAAATGAGGAATAAATTCATGAAACAAAGTAATAATTAGAAGACTTTTATTGCAAATAGAAAGAGAAAAATAGCACCTGGATTTCAAGGAAGGGTCCTTTTTGGGGTGGGCACTAAGGCTTTCTGTCAGATGTAATTTATACAAGAAAGACTCAGCATATGTACAGTGTAGATCACACAACCAGCTATAGAATTAGTAGCCACTTACCTAACATTGAGCTACTGTGGAAGCAGGCAACAGAGCCAGGTTACACTAAGAGAACAAAGGCATTTGGGGAAAGGATGGGCCGAGGTGTCTGGTCACACACTTGGGTGACTGATGCCTGTCTGGACTCACTGGGCCAGTTGTGTATAATTACCCTATAATCTCAAATTACTGTTTGTCCCTTCAGAGCCATCTAGGCCTGGCCATCGCGCCTTTAGCTGGAAGCCCGGCCTGCTTCACATTCGCCTGCAGCCATAGCTCTGAGGTCTCTGTGCTTGGGCTGACTTCTCTGAGAAGCCCAGTCCTCCTCCAACTGCACATTAATTTCTATCTAACTTAGCTGCCTATCGTAATTCCATCTACCCATGGGTCTAACCATAGGAAAATCCAGAAAGAAATAAAAAAAACTTTCTGAAATCAGATAGAAAAATATAAATTTTGCCTCTTTGATTACTATTGTCCATTGGAAATATTCCTTGGTCATTTTAAAAAATAATTTATTGAGAAAGAAGTAGCAACGAGATAGTTTCAAAACAGTTTAGTAGTACAGGTACAATAACTAACACATTACATATTATTGTCTTTGTAGTAGTTATTCCTAGTACAAGATGCAAACATGATATCTTGTCTAAACACTATTAGTTCAAAACTTTCTTCTCATTAAAATAAGAGAAAGTAGCTATATATCTATGCTATTTTGTATATATATACATATATATATATTTCACTACAAAATGGTTCTTCATTTACCTCCCCCTGTTTTGTTTACTTTTGTCAGAGATATGTATTCCATTGCCATTCATATATTGTAGGTGCATGAATTCAGCAGAGTAAGCCAATATAGTCCAGTAGTCTATAATAGTAGTGGGTTATCCACATGACTGGCAATGTCAGAAGTTGTTGACTTGAGCCTTTTATAGCTCAACATATTAACATGGCTTTACTTTTTATACCTCGTTTTTATACTTTTCTGCTGGATGGTTAAGACCAAGATAAAGCAAGACCTATGTAACAAAAAATGTAACTTTTGTATCTGACAAGACTAGTCAAATTCCCTCAGGATTTAGCCTGAAACCCTGTACTGCAGTTTGTAGATCCTTTGTCAGTGTCTGCCATGTGGATGAGTCACAGTCATTGCTTGAGCAATTTGCTCTCCGTGAAAGCCTGAGAGAATGTTCTCTCCAGGTGATTCTCCTTAGACACACTCTACATTGTCAACCACTTTCCTCTGTGGCCCCATAATCTCCTTGATTAGAAAATTTGGGGCTCCACTGAGTTACAGGATGTCACAGTACAGGTTCCCTTATGTCCTGAGTCCTCACTGACCTTTAAGGGCTAGATTGGTCATTGTTTAATCATCAACTTTTTCATTATTTGCAAACTTTATGCAGGTAAAAATCATATGGACTAATTGGTGATTCTCTTGAAAAACTATTTGCCGATACCTTGCTAGAGCATGCCCATGTTGTGCACAAAGTTTATTTTCGCTATGACTTCCATTTTTTTTCTACTTTGCATAGTGCAAGAACTTCTTGCTTATTTAAATCTTTAGAAGAGCAAAGGGCAAAAAGTACATTTTACTCAGAAGAGTTCTTATGAATATTATTACCAAGTGACCAAATTTTTTTGCATAAGCATGCATTAGATCTACCAGTGATTCGCTTTCAAATATAAATTTTAATCTTCGAATAGTGACTTTTAATGTGCATCTTGGCTTCAGGCTTCAGGATGAATCACTATGCCTGGAGCAAGATCTTTGTCGACGATAGAACTGAGCATTCAAAGGACAAGGGGGAATCCACAGGGGAATGCTCTGTCCCCAGGTCACCTTGAAGAGAAGACATAGCATTGCAGAACAAAACTCATAAGAACTGCAACAAGTTGCCAGGTCAGAGCAGAGTCGCCTGCTCCACATTTTCTCTTTAATGGGAACAAAGCCAGGAAGAAGTTCCTAGTGGGGACTGTTACATTTTGGAATATATTAAAGACTGTGAAATTGATTGTCATTGAGCGTTCTCCTTTGGAAGTTTGATGTAGGAGTTTGTTAGCCTTAAGTTTGACTGTATAAACTGAGTGATTATGAGCAGTAATTTATGAAGTTGTCTTTCTTCAAGGAAGAATTATTC